ATATATATTTATATATATATATATATAATAAAATAAAATAAAATAATTATAGGATAACATTACCTCAGGAATTTACTGTATGAATAATATCTGGATTAACAATGTGTATGTTAATTATTTGTATTATTTATTTATAACTTCCAGAAATATTTTCTGTAGGCTAACATGAAATGGGGCAAACTGTATGATGGAAAGACTTTAGAACCAAAGGAAACACTGTTTATTCTCAGCTTAAAACAGAAAAGCTTCATTGTTTATGTTGAAAAAAAAATGATGAAGAGCTGATATAATAGATAAAACAGTATTTAAATGATTATTTAATTACTGATAACAAAGATGTCTCATGTCTGTTCAAAAAATATAAAAAAGTACCACTTCTTTCAAAGGGACCATTTTTCTGAGTTTTTATTTACTTTCCCATAAAAATGTAAATATTGTAATCATTATCAACAAAAATTAGGAATACGGTGTTAGAAATGTGGGCTCGCTTACTTTCAAATAAATACAAAAATAAATAAAGGTGAGGTTTTTTTTTTTATATATATAAAAAAGGGATTTTTTTTCCCTTTATATTTACCTGCAGGTCAGCGATGGTCCTGCCGAATGCCTTCCGCTGCATCACAAAGTTCCTTGTCTCTTCAAACATGAACTCGCTGCTGGCAAGAGCCATGACTGCTATATAAAGGCGCTCCTGCAGAATGACATAGAAAGCAAGAAACAAGCTGAAATCTCTCCCTATTCCTATTATTGTTCATTATAATGGAGTGTGAGCCTATTTGTAGAGCTTTTCAAATTCCCAGAATCTTAATCCCCTCATATTTTGATATCTTATACCGACAATGCAATCCATGTACAAAAGATCTTCACAGGCGGATGCAATATGTGAGGGGGAATTGATTGGGTCCTACAGCAGGTTGTTAGAAAGACTGGGAGATTAACTCTATAATACAAATAATACTAATTTATGCTCAGTAAATTCTTCTAAAAAAAGCAGCACTGTGCTTATAATTACTACTTTATCACTCATTACACTCTCATTACACGGAGGCAACTTCAGAGATACATTCACACAACTACTACAAACACACAAACCATTGAATCTGTTGACTACCACAAACACACAAACCATTGCATTTGTTGCAGTATTATCAAAAATAAGAATAGGAAAACTCAATAGAGAATAGGAAAACTGATATACCTGTGGCAGCTCGTTCATCATATAATAAAATCCTTTATTGACCTGACCCAACAAAGCTTCAGCAGGCAAACGCACATCCTCAAAAAACAGTTCAGCTGTATCCTGCATAGAAACAAACACCCAATACATTTCTAACTAGACCTCTTTATTAATCTATACTAAACTATAAAATACATTTAATTCTTACATGTTTCAATCAATTCTAAGTGAACTCTTACACAAGCTGGCAACTGCATTTAAACAGAGGTTATGTATATGGAAAGCTTTAAGGGGAACCTGAGCTTTGAGTCCGAGCTTCTCCAGTTTGCGGCCTTTTTGGAAGCCCTTAGTGCCACTGTCAACCAGGAACAGACTGATTCCATGAGCTGCTGTCTTTGCTTCACGGTTAGTCACAGCAACTACAATCACCATATCACTCATCCAGCCATTACTGATGAACATCTGGAAGAAAGTGACAGAAGTACTGTAGATGACTGTGGTTTAACAAAACCTGATGGAAAATTCAAAACAATTGAAAAAAATACTAACCAACTAATTCACAGAAGATTCCCTCAAAGCTATTTATTTATTTATTTTTAAATTATGACTGTTTTGATGTAAACACTGAACATAAACATTACAAGTGGACCTCAAGGAGTATTATAAAATAA